CGAAGACGTATAGGGATTTTGATGCCTAGATATCTGAATTAGTAACACTTTATACACCGCCCAAATACAGTGTACTATAAATTATTAATACATCAACCTGCCTAGATGAAGCTTTTGGACTTGCAACCACCAGCAATAATGGAGATGCGTGATTTGTATGCAGTCCAAAGGCTTCATTTGTTGGACTTGCAACCGCCAGCAGAATCAGGGTACTTTGATTACTAAGGCATATGTAATAAATAGTAATTCAGGTATTTTAACTTTTCTGCCGTTCTAAATTAAGGCACTCAGGCATAAAATCCCCCTAAAAGGGGGTGTCAAATGTCAGTTACGGCGCCTCTAGGCCCCATATAATTACCTTAGTTTTTATGTGGTCTAGTGGTAAAATATGCTGTATTTTTTCCCACAGGGGGTTTTGAATCATGGCCCCTATACGTCTTCGTAGATCAACCATATTAATTAACTTAACTTCCTCATGCGGGCGGTCAAAGCGCTGCTGATCACAACGTGGACGGGGTGAGTACTTAGTAACCATATCCAACTATAGCCTTGGAGGTATGATTCAAACTTCTATGCCTTCATGAACCTCTCTGCTCCAGGGATGAGCCGCCGTATAGGGGCTGCCAAATCTCGAACCGGGTGCAAAACCTGCAAGTAAGTCTCTGCTACCGTTTTTAGAGTCCATAAGCTCTGACCGCCGACCAGAATCAGAAGAGTCAAATGTGGCGAGGAGAAGCCAAGTTGCCTTCGCTGCTCTAGCACAGGATGGAAATGTGAATATGAGGGTAGTGGGACATTTTCCCGGGCTCCCTCCACACCCGGCCACGCACTGTCATTGTCCCAAAATGCAGCGCGACGAGAACGTCGCGCATTTGCATATTACTTCGAGCATGTGTCCCAACATCTCGCAGGTGGAATGAATGTAGACTTTTGGACCGGGATTGTTCCGCAGATCTGCCGCTGTGAGCCCGCTGTGTGGGATGCAATGATTGCAATTAGCGCATTGTACGAAAATCCACAGCAGTGCGGGGACTTTCATTTTTTGAAGGATCGACGAAATAAGGCACATTTACTCAATCATGCCCAGGAGGAAGCATTGATATGGTACTCGCGATCAATCTCTGGCGTTTCTTCCCAGATCCAGCGAGGCACCGCAGATCCGTACATTGCACTCATCAGCTGCGCACTATTTATCTGCGTGGAGATGATCCAAGGACGCATGGAGAAGGCGTTGGAGCTCTACCGACAGGGTATCAGCTTGATACTTGACCTCCGTGCCCAGGTTGGCCATGGAGGAGTATCTATCAGTAAAGGTGTTCTGTTGGAGCGCAGCATTGCTCCCTTATTCCTACGGCTGGGCACGAGTTCCCTGACTATTTCAGGGACTCAGTTTCCTATTGAACTTTTTACCTTTGTAGAAACAGACATGAGAGCTGGCTTCACGTCTGTCGATTCTGCAAGAACCATTATTTCCGTCCTAGCTGCGGAAGTTATCATCTTTGAGCACGAGGCGAACTTACACCTCAAGGCAGTTGGTGCAGATTCCGCTGTAAGCCCAGAAATGGTCGCGAAAAAAGAAGCACTCCGAGCCCGTCTCGCTGAATGGCATTTGGAATACACCAATATTTGCCAAAACAACAGCTCCGTACCCACTGTCTCCATATACCCAGAGCCTATACTGCTCACATATCATGCTGCTGCTTTGATTCATGTGACAGGATGCTTAAGCCAACAAGAAACCGTTTTTGACAACCATTTTGCAGACTTTGTTACTATCGTCGAACAATCTAAGTTGATTCTCGATGCTTCGGCAGGTCCAAATGGTGCCCAACCACCATTCACCTTTGAGATGAGTGTGGGTGTCCCTCTCGCTATGACTGTTTTGAAATGTCGTGACCCAACCTTGCGGAGAAGGGCTTTGGACCAATTGCGACTAGCGCCTCCGATACAAGGATTTTTCAAATGCGCCCCCGTGGCTCTTTTGTCGGAAATGTTGATGAAGCTGGAAGAGGGCTACAGCCTTGCCTTAAGGCAAGAAACCACAGTGGCACTTTCTCACAAAGTTCTCCCCAAGAATGTTTTGATTGGTCTACCAGCCGCCATAATAACCCACGAGACAATCGGGTCACAAGCAGCACTCATCCCTGAAGAGGCTCGTGTACATGACTACGGTATCTTCAGACCGAATGAGTGGCAACCTTCGTGGATCACCGAGGAAGATCTCGCACCATTTCCGCATGGTCCAAACCAACTATATCTGGGATTTTCAAGAAATCAATACGACCAGGAAAGCAGCAGCTGGCGGCCGATTTTTCAATGCATACCGTTAGAGGCTAGTTTTTGAAGGATCTTTCACATCTCTCATGTCTCTCATGTCTCTTTCGAGTAGGGGTCACAATACCGCGTATACATTCAGAATCAATTTCTCTTCATAATAAAAAGAGAACTCTTGAAACAGGTTCGTTGCGTATTATCTTTTTGTATAGTCACAGCCCTGGAGATAGCTTATCTATTGCGGAGAGATAACATTTCCACGTGGTAGGTGCATGGATCCATGGATGCAAAGCGCTTGACCATCGTCGAATCCGGACTAGCGTATTTTGTTCGCCGACGGGATGCCCCGCCTCTTCAGTCGATAACGATGCCGACGGCGGTGCCCCTCTTAACAGCTTAATACGAAATGGATCGAATTTCATTGAACAACTCTTTCAATTTGATTCTTCAATATGGCTGAGCAATTGAATATTGACTTGGATCTCATTGTGCTGAACTGTACTTTGGCCACTGTTGAAGAAGTTGTACAATGTGACATTGGTGTCAAAGACGAGAAGATTCACTCAATTGTTCCCCAAGGAACGTTGGCTGGCTCAAAGGCCAAAACGATCATTGACGCCAAGGGAGCTCTGGTTACGGTTGGTTTTATTTTTCACCCCTCACGAGTGAACTCATGACCATGTGCTAATTTTCTTTCAAGCCAGGAGGGATTGATGCCCATGTTCACCTTCAAGAACCGCCTCTGTTTGGGCTCGGCTCTACTGCAGACAACTTTGAGTCTGGTTAGTCTCCCAATATTCATAGCCGGTGATTGACATGTTCATTAAATTGACACATCTCCTAGGCACCCGTGCCGCGATTGCGGGAGGTACAACCACCATTGTAGCTTTTGCACCTCAACGGAAGCATGAAGATAGTGTTCTTGCAACCTTAGCTAGCGCTCATGAACGTGCCCAGGACCAATGCTACAGCGACTACTCATTCCATCTCATCATCTCCAACCCATGCGCAAAGACGCTGGCGGAATTCCCAGCCTTCCGAGAGTTGGGCATCTCATCAGTCAAGATATACATGACCTACGAAGCTTTGCGTCTCAACGACGAGCAATTCTTGGATGTCTTGTTTCAATCCCGTCTACACAAGGTCACAACTCTAGTACATGCAGAGAACGACTCTGTGATTTCGTGGATGACCAAGAAACTACATGAGCGTAAACTATACGCACCAAAGTACCATACGGCTTCTCATCCCGCAGTTGCCGAGATTGAGGCCAGCTACCGTGCCATCTGTCTTTCCGAGTTTATTGACACACCCATATTAATCGTCCATGTTTCTAATCCTCGAGCCGTCGAGAACATTCGACAAGCCCAGGCAAACGGGCTTCCAATTTATGCTGAAACATGCCCTCAATATCTGTTCCTCAGCAACGAAAACGTGGATCTGACTGGGCTTGAAGGGGCAAAGTGTATTTGTAGTCCACCGCTGCGCAACAAATCCGACCATGAGGCTATTTGGGCCGGTCTTGAGGACGGAACGTTTACCATTCTCTCGTCGGACCACTCCCCGTTCAATTTCAATGACTCAACCTCTGGAAAGGCATCGAGTGTGACCGCAGAGCACCCCGATGGCCAGTTCCACTTAGTTCCCAACGGATTCTCTGGCGTCGAGACTCGAATGCCATTGGTCCTTTCGGCTGATCGACTTAAGATACAAAGATACGTGGAGCTGACATCAACCAACCCCGCCAAATTGTATGGCATGTATCCGAAGAAAGGCGCTCTTATCCCCTCGGTCAGTGATGCCGACTTTGTCATCTGGTACCCCGAGGGTAGTCTTGATATGACTGTTACCAACGACATCCTTCATCATAACGTCGACTACACCCCATTCGAGGGACACAAAGTAAAGCAGTGGCCGCGCTACACTGTGCTTCGTGGGCAAGTGGTTTGGGACAGGGATGATGGAGGCATCGTAGGTGCTCGAGGTTTTGGTCAGTTTTTGCATCGCACAGAAAGCAAGTTGGCGGGCAGTAGGAGTGAGGGGTCTTGGGACGTTGAGACTGCGTGGGTTTAATAAATAGAAATAGACATCTTTAACAACCCAGGAAAGAATTCCTCGCATACTAGGCCAAATCTGACTTTGATCCAGACACACTTGGACAGTACATGATTCTCTTGCATTCTGAAGCTTAAAGCCCTGTGTTTGTTCCCTTAAACTTAGCTTCAAGGCCCGGTCTTTTCTTTGACCGGCTTCGCGATCAGAGTGGTTGGGCCGTCGGTGAGTACAATAGGTTTTTGGGCCCATCGCGCCAACCGGGCTTTTCGCCGGTAGGTTACCCAGCTGCCATGAATCAACCTCTATACATATATGTGGTCTTTTTAACGTCTAGGAATAACTACCAAAGGTGACCCACTAAGAATGTTAGAGGATAGTTAGCGCTTATATTCTAAAAGACCCCAGAAAAGACCTTCAAAAAAGGCCGATAGAAATATGATAACGAAGTGGTACTTACAGTAGCACTAGACTTTCTCTACGGGATGTATGAGTGATTTAGATATTATAGGCGTTTTGGAGTAGGGCATATATCTGGACCCAAAAACTTGCCGTAGGTGAGGATCTCCGATGGTGACCTTAGTAAAATATAATCAATGCATGGTATTATGAAAGATACTTGTAAGATTGAAGCATCAGTGGCTTTTACTAGCGATTCTCATCTACAAAAAGGCTCATGTTGATGTATCAACAGTGTGAGAAGCAGCCGCGACATTGACCAAGTTTTTCCAAAAGATGCCATCAACTCGAATGGCCGCAAAACGAAGAAGTGGCCAAGACGGAGCGCGCGTACGCAATGTTTGTCTCCAAACAGCCAAGAGCTTTTGGTCATTAATCATCATATGCGGCTCTCTATGCTGGAAACACAACATGAAACTGAATTGCCCTGGATAAGAGAAGCATGATCTCGTGTAAGTCGGCCAGAAGACTGATTGATGTCTAGCATCGAGGCTGTAGATGAAACGAGTCACGGCGCGGATCAAGCCTCGCGATGCGTCTAGGATGGCGGCAACCGATGGTTGAAGGTGGTCTAGCGGTATTTTGTCGTCGAGAATTGGCCGTAAAAGGGCGCGGAAGAGCAGGATTTGAACTGTAAAGTATGAGATGTGCAAGCTACCGCGGGTATCGACTGGTTCTTCCTCGGTTTCCGAGTGTGTCTGCGTTGGTGCTGGCATCTGGAGTGACTCTGGCAGCGCACCGATCCACTGATGTAGTTGCTGGCGAAACACCCGAGCCTGATCTATCAAGCTATTCAAAGGCTGTTGTTGGTAGACAGAGTGGAGAGAGCTGATGGTGCCGATTAGTGGACGTTGGTAGAAGGACTCGGGGATGTCTTTGATAGAGACGGCTATGTAACGCGGCACGAATGACTAGAATGGGGAAAGGAATAAAGGGGTTGAACTCACAAGAAAGTCCGGCACAAATTGTTGGCAATGATCGTGAGTGAACTAAGATGCATAAAGTAATCCGGACAAACATCACCCACCCCAAGCCCAGCTCCAGGATTCAAGTTGACTTCAAAGTCAGCCAGGGTGAGAGGGGTCACATTCCAGCTATCATAGGAAATTATTGACTGCCGTCCATGAGTGATGGCTCGCCAGCTGTGTTCGACAAGAACACACCACCACAGGCGTCGCCGGAGGCGAATCTCCCAGGTGGGTAGATCCCAACCTATAGGGTTCATATTCAAACCCAAAGACTGAGCAATAGCTAACGTTGAGCTTGCTAAAACCCACGCCGAAGGATTCTCTGCGGAAGCCGGATCGAAAGGGTCGAAGTTGAGGAGTAAAAGAGAAGTCTGGATTGTTGATAGGCGTGGGAAGTGCATCTCTCTCTGCAAACAGGCATATGATATGCCCCACAGGTCATCCGTGGATGGTTTGGTATAGCCGCTGTCAACGCAAAGAACGTCATCCCATGCTGTGAATTGTAGTGAAAGTGCGTATATCGCAGCAAGAAGCCCAACTGAGGCATTTTTCACGAAGGCTTCGATGTCTCGAAAAACGAAGGACCGAGAAAGAACCGGGAGTGCATGAAAGATGTACCGAAAATACCTTTGAACCATTAGCAGGGGAACCCGCTATTGGGGGGCACATGGTAGCTACAGCTTCACTAGTCCGATTCCCATCTCTGGACTCACGAGATTGTCGAGTTGGATTCTTGGAGTGCATTTGCCTTGGTCGAATAAGCACTTTTCGACGGCTTGCAAAGACCGAGATACTGTTTGGCTATGGTTTTGCAGAAAGTAAACAGGCACGGCTCCGGCCAAGCTCGTCCCCTGTTGGGCTTCGGGAGGAACTGTATTGTCGGATTCGGGGCCAGCAGCTGTATTGGATGCCATTCTGTAGATAAGCCGGAAGAACTTCACTTCACCTGATTCGTCGTACGGATAATTTCGCAGGAGGAACGGGTCGGACTCGCCCGAGAACCCAAAAAGTTGAGAGGAAAAGTCGGGCTTTTGATCGAATGTCAACTCTTCCAAGCCTTCAGGCTGGCTAGAATGTGACCATGATGGACTATTATCAGCAGTATTGAGACCAAGGCGGCCAGTTGAGTCAATAGGCAGGATTTCCGAGATGCTTTCTCGCCCAAAAGTGTCAAGCATGTCCTGGAGATCATTATTGTTGAACGTGGGCCAGCCAACGCCGTCATCGCGAGGCCAGCCAGTTGCAATCAGGGGGCTGTCGAGGAGTGATTCGTTGGGCACACCATGGATGTCAGATAGAAAATGATCATCTACAGCGAACTGTTAGCTATTAGCAAAGGTTTTTGCGTGGATCTTAGTGCAATACCTGTGCCTGGAAGTAGTTGAGATTGACTTCCATCCTGAGATGGTGGAACAATGGAAGGCGTCTGTGCGTCGATAGATGTACGGGGGACTATGCCACCGGCAATAGATCCCGAGAACCCGTCAGGTCGAGGGGATTGCGACAGTGTGCCCAAGTCTTGAGCTTGTTTCTTGCTGGGCTTACGATTCGGCTTTTCCACAAACGTGCAAGATCGCCTAGTACGCTCGCAGAGTGTGCATGGCTGGGATGGATCGGGGATATTGCAGTGAACTTTGCGGGACCGACACAAATCGCATGGTCTCTGTGCTTTGGAGCGATACCTTCGCACGCTCGTAACGCGGCCACTTGAAGTACTATTGTTATCGAGATTAGAAGAACCTTCACTATATCTATTCATTTTACCTTGTTAGATTGTGAGCTAAGAGTTGACTACAATCGTGAGACTAGAAAATCAGGGGTAAGGAGAAGAAGCCGATTGGGTAACTAAGCCGGGGCGGAGGCGGACTACGGCAGGTTTTTGGGTCCATCGCGCTAATCTATGTACAAGCCCTAATAAGTATAGCATTATTTCTCCATTCTCAAGCGATATTTCTTGAACTCGATATATGCTCTACTAATCGCTTGTACATAGATTAAAGAAAGTCTAGCGCTACTATAAAACTCACTTTATTATCATCTTTCTATCGGTCTTTTTGGAAGGTCTTTTTGGAAGGTCTTTTCTGGGGTCTTTTAGAATATAACCGCTAGTTAACTATCCCCTAGTATTGTTAGTGGGGGGGGGGGGCAACTTTGATAGCTATTTCTATACTTAAAGAGACTACGTACGAATGATGATGGCGGCTGGCTAACTTACGGCCGGCGAAAAACCCTGTTGGCACGATGGGCACAAAAGCCTGCCCTAGGCGGACTAGTCTTTAGCCGGTGAGATTGCTTCATATATTTTATTTACCCTTGTGGCTGTAGTGATTCTTCATCAGGCTATTACTAGAAGATCATTGTATCAAACTTTTGTTCATACTTCTTCGTTCATAACATGTTAATATACAGGCATTTGTAGCTTATAGGCGCTTGATACATCTTGCCTTAAGCAAAGTCACCTCGCTTCGCGCGGAGCTTGTCATATCCTAAAACAGCGCCTAACAAGACGTTGGCGCCAAGAGCACTGGACTAGTTAGCAGTGATCACAAGGAATATCGTTAAGTACTTACCAGTCTTCAGGAGAACAATACTCCATGGGGTTGTGGCTAATCCCATTTCGAGTCGGTGTGAAGATCATGCTCGTTGGGCACCGCCGATTTGTGTAGCAACTATCGTGACCGGCACCACTGATCATATCCCGCCACTGTTTTCCCCCTGAAGCTGGATCCGGGAATTCTGCAAGAACAGCTTTGGCGCTTTCTTCAACCATGGAGATGCAGTCCTTGTCAAAATGAACAGCGGGACTATCGACCAGTTCTTTCCATTCGACGGTGCAGCCTCGCTCGCTATCCTCAGTCGCAATTCTCTGGAATTCGGCCACGCAGTTCGCAATCATCTTTTCGAGATCTTCGTCAAAGGTATGGCGAAGGTCCAGACTGAAGTTGACTGTTTGAGCTACGGTATTGACCGTTCCTGGCTCCGAGTGTATGATACCCGTCGTAGCGAGACCGCTGGCCTTCTTTGCGACCGAATTCGCGGTGGTGATCATTTTGGCAGCGCATAGCACAGCATCTTGACGCGCATACAGAGGGGTTGTGCCTGCGTGGGTATCCCTACCACTAACAGTAATATCGAACCATTTGAATGCTTGGACGCCTTGGGTATGGTCAGTATTAATCATCAATCAGTCGAAATCTTCTGACCTTGCACAACACCGATCTTTCGACCTTCATCCTCCAATATCGGCCCTTGTTCAATGTGTAGCTCAAAATGAGCAGCAAAAGGATTGGCCTTAAACGAGGCTGGCGTTTCGCCCACATAGCCTATTCTATCGAGTTCTTCCTTCATAGTCTTGCGAGGTGTGTTATCACCAGTGGAAATTTCCTCCAGGTTCCAAGCCGTCTCGAGAGGAATCGCCTCGGCCCAGACAGCAGCCGAGATAGCCATCACGGGGAATCGTGCTCCTTCCTCACTGAGAGGTACTGTCATTAGTCAATTGTTCAGTCTGTTGGGAGAAGGAACATACTTGGTCCAGTCAACAACTCCAATGCTTCCTTCTGTCTCGAACGAGTTCTCTTCTAGTACTTTCAGTACTTCCAAGCCAGCGATGACGCCTAGGATGCCATCGTATCGTCCTCCGGTAGGCTGTGTGTCAAGATGGGAACCCATCATGATGGGAGGGGCATCTTTATTCTTTCCGGCGCGAATCGCAAATAGATTGCCCATTTGGTCGACGTGGGTACGGCAGCCAAGGGCTTTCGCAGACTCAATAAACCATTCTCTTACGTCTTTATCCGAATCAGTTAGACTAAGTCTGGCCATTCCGGTTTCTGTGGAGTCACTGATAACAGCACAATCAGCGTAGGTCGAAGAGGCTACAGAGTGAGTAAGCTTACTTTCCATATGAATGCGCAGAGCCATGTTGGCAGCTTGCATGTAGCGACTCAAGCAGTCGTGTCTGGTTGACCTTGAAAGGAAGTTGTGAGGTCGCCATATTTTCGTGTATTGATATCACAGCGTTATAAGAGAGCAGGTGCGGAGGAATGGAGTAAGTGCAGTTAAACAAGAGGGTATTTGAATTGTTCACTAGGGTCATGCTAAGGGTAGAACTGGTGGGGCCAACGCCGTCGGCCGTCTTACCGATATGGAGTCGATGGCCGTCGGCCACTGATAACGCTCTCCACTATGGACTTGTCCTGTCCTATTTGATTACATATCCTCAAGTAAATATCCTCGAGTGAATCATGCAGTCCCCATTTCCCCGCATAAATGCACGCTTATCTATTGTGGCTTGATTTCGCCGACGGCAATTGACCTGAGTAGATTGTCAACGTCCTACTATATAGTATGATTTTTACCGTTTCAGTCAATGGAGTCATTCACATACTATTTCAATTACACTCCAAGCATGATCATAGACACTCAACATCCGGTGAGCTCCGATATCAAATCGCCCGATATTGAGCGAGCACCAAGTCCCGAACAGGGCTACTGTGACAAGTTACCGGAGCAGACCGAAGTATTCAACGACACAGAAGATGGGGTCAAGTATCGCACAGTCGGCTGGATAAAAGCTTCGGTGATCTTTATCAAGATTTTGTTTGCCGTGGGTGTTTTATCTATCCCAACTGCCATGTACACCCTGGGAGCGGTTGGCGGATCGCTCAACGTCGTCGGATGGGGTGCCTTCAACACCTACGTTGCAGTTATTCTGGGCAACTTCCGTCTCAGACATCGAGGATGTCATAGCATTGCTGATATGGCTGAGGTTGTGGGCGGCAAAGTGACCAAGGAAATCGTTGGTCTTCTCTTCATCGTCGCATACGTGCTGTCTGCCGGAGCAGTAATTGTCGGAATTTCGGTTGGTCTCAATACCTTGTCCCATCACTCAGCATGCACAGTCTGGTGGGCATTCCTAGCAGCCGCCGTTGTGGCTGCCGTAGCCTCGATCAGAAAATTGAACCAGCTAGGCTGGCTCACTTATCTTGGCTGCGGCTCCATCTTTGTTGCAGTTTTGATAGTCGTCATTGCCGTCACCCAGCGTGATCGACCCGCGGCCGCCCCCCAGACAGGCGAATACGAATTCGGTTTCAATGCCGTTGCCTATCCCTCCTTTACCGCCGGTTTGGTCGCTTCATGCACAATCTTCTACTCAAGCTCTGCAACAAGCGCCTTCCTTCCTGTCATGGCTGAGATGAAGCGCCCTGAAGATTACCGGAAGTCATTGTTTCTTTGCATGGGATTTGTTACATCAAGCTATCTTTGCTTTAGCCTGGTCGTCTACCGATGGTGTGGAAAATGGGTTGCCAGCCCATCGCTAGGGGTAATTTTGCATCACTTTATAACCACGAGAAAGAATGTACTGATGATTCTCTAGAGCGCTGGACAGACCATTAAAATGGTAGCATATGGCATCGGTCTTCTAGGCCTTGTTGTCAGTGCCTCGGTCTATATGCATGTAAGCCTTCGAGTATCATCCGAGGTGAAGAACCCACGTTAAACTTGATTTTAGCTAGCTTCGAAGTACATCTTCGTGCGACTACTGCGTAACACAAGACATTTGCAACAAAATACCGTCATTCACTGGGTAACATGGTTGACATGCACCTTTGGGCTCGCCCTTATCTCTTTTGTGTGTGCCGAGGCGATTCCGATCTTCAATTACTTGAACGCACTGGCGGGCTCATTGTGTTTTGCACCTCTCTCAATGGTCTTACCCGCCTGGCTGTGGCTGTACGATCATTCAAGCTTCAGGACTGGCACTGTCACCCAGCGACTGATTTACTGGACGCATGTGTTTTTGATTCCGTTTGGGTTCTTCTTCATAATCGGTGGAACATATGGAGTCGGCCTGCAGATTAGAGATGCTTATGCATATGGAACAATCGGTACGTCAGACAATCACCATGCAATGAACTGTCGCTAATGGATCTAGAACCTACGTTTTCATGCGCCGACAACTCAAATTATGGAGGTTGAAGTCGGCTCGGCTATCTCAGAGCCTGGAATTTGTAATTTATACCGCGGAGGGGTATCAGTCTAATATATAATCTATCCATAGTATCCCCTTTGGATCCTTCTAAATTTAGTCCGTATTGTGCGTTAGTTTGTGCTTCATTTTCTAGGACTTTTGTAGGCTTTGAAAAGTCATCGTACTGGAATTTGATTATAAGGTTTTGTAATATCATTTTAACCCAGCTTGATATTCATATTATGGAAGTCATAGTATATGATTAATGATTAAGTATAGAGGTCGGCATAGCTCACCGGCTAAACGATGTACCGTGACACCAGGGGATCCATGGTCCCGAGGTCACTAATCCGATTATCTAAAGTTGACCCACCTGGGCACGTGCAGATAGTCCAACCTCGAGCTTCATCATGATTTATCCTATTGTATTTCCCTCTGATTTACCGTGCTTGATACTAACAGTGACATGGAAAACGCAATCGAGTGCCTTCCACCAACACATTTAACCAGCGCTAAACCCATCCCGACCGTAATGGAGAGCTCAGATGTCTCAAGCTCGGAAGAGCATACACCTAACGATCCGGCAGCTCTACCTCATCTCGTTATCCAGTCGATCCAATGCCAAAAATGCTCTCGCCCTTTGCGAATTCCGCTTTGCCTACCATGCGGTAATTCGGTCTGTCGGGAATGTTTACCCGCATCTCGGCCGCGGACCGGTATTACTTACCCCGTAGCTGAGGGGAGAAACCAGGAATTTACATGCCTTTGGAAAGGAAGCAAGGCGTGTGTTGGGAACCATTGTGTCGGGGATTGTGGCACTGATGTGCTGCTTGGAAAGCTGGTTGGTCTCTTTGGAGAGATACTGGGGTCAGAGGCAAACAGCGTACCTCAGGATTGGTCCGATGATGATGGACCATTACTGCAGTGGAAAACCGAACAAAATCAGAACGGAAGTGTACAGTTGCAACGGCATGGCTGGCTGGGAGGGATCTATAGCCTGGCACTGGAAGGCCGGTTCCCGTCTGATGCATGCGAGGTTATCTATGGAGATTCTACAACCCCAGCTGGAAGGATAGACGAGCATGATCTCATTCACTTCCAAGCACTGCGAGACAGTCTCCGCGCCGAGTTAGACTGCCAGGTTTGTTACTCACTTGTTCTGGATCCGATGACCACGCCTTGTGGCCACACCTTCTGCCGAAAATGTGTCGCACGGGTCTTGGACCATACCGATCTGTGTCCCATTTGTCGTCGAAAGCTCGGCATGCCAAATGATCTACAGTCAGAGCCCATAAATCAGGCAGTGGCGCGGCTGATCGACTACTTTTTCCCCGAACAGATCTCAGTCAGGCGGGAGACCAGTGCCCAGGATGAGGCAGGCCCGGATTACGAGAAGGACTTGCCACTTTTTGTGTGCACGCTATCATTCCCGACAATGCCGACTTTTCTCCATGTCTTCGAGCCCAGGTACCGACTTATGATTCGACGGGTTCTCGCAAGTGGAAATGGGAAATTCGGCATGGTCATGTACAACCGGCAAGGCCTGGTACAGACAGGTCAAATGCGTGACGCACCGTTTATGCAATACGGAACGCTCTTAATGATCGAGCGATATGAGCTGCTTCCGGACGGTCGCAGTCTTGTGGTGGCTACGGGCGTGTCGCGGTTCAAGATTATCGAGTCGGGAATGGTGGATGGCTATTATGTTGCCAGAACAGAGCGCGTAGATGACATCTCGCTTGCAGAGGAGGAGCGGCTCGAGTCGATGGAGACCTCAGCAAACGGTGTAAATGCTCTACCAGAAGGGAATGAATCTAGTCCTCCGTTAGACTCAATGCCAACTCAACAGTTACTCCTCGTGGCAAGGGAGTTCATCAGCAATCAGCGCAGATCTGGGGCCCCTTGGCTGCACCCGCGCGTCATGCTAGCATATGGACCCATTCCTACAGATGCAGCCCGCTTCCCATGGTGGTTTGCGAGCATTTTGCCCATCTCCGAAGAAGAGAAATATCCAATACTTGCTGCCTCCAGTGTTCGAGAGAGACTCAAAGTCTCGGCAAAATGGGCAAGGCAAGTCGAGGCCCGAAACTGGTAGGTTTCACATCTTTTCTCCCCGTTAATACTATTCTGACATCTTTAACTAGGTCTACTCGCACATCACTATTCTCTGTCTTATGACTATCCGTCCCTCTCCTCATCTTCTGCATTATCCCTCTATTATTGAGACCCTTGTCAAGAGCCTTCAACTCGATATCGCCGAATGTATTCACGTCATTGACACCATTTTCTTTCTCGGTCTCAATCTCATTTGGTGGCTCTGGTCTTTCATTCCCTGGTGCTGGCTCGCAAATACCTAATGAACATGATCAAACCCACGACATTGGCCAACAAGAGCAGAAAGATGGAACATATATCCATCAGGGATTCGTGATTGGCGCCTTCCTGACGATCTTCTTCGCCCAGGTTGGTGTTAACTTCCTGCATGCTGTTCGAACCGGAAGAAGAAGACGACGGTTCCTGGAAATGCAGTTTCCGCAACCCTTACCCCAGCGGAATCCAGAGCAAGACCGTGGCTTGAATAGAGAGCCTGGGATCAATACGAATGCTGCAGAGGAAAGTGCACGAGACGATGCGGAGGGACGCCCCGTCACAGGAAACGCTCCTGGTGTTGGATAGTGGGATCCAACATATCTAATATCCAAAATTTACCCCAATTTGGCACTGATACTTGTATCATATGCTACCCCACAAGCAATATACCCCCTTTTGACGAAGCTCTACGATATTTCTTCTGTTCCTTTTTGTTCATCATCATCTGTGAGTTTATCCAATATTGTTGTACATATAAGCCGTTCATTAAGGCTCGCATATTAATATCCTCTTGCACCTTGACAACTGAATTGTCCAAGAGTCCTTTGGATATGAGCCAATTTGCTACAACATGGGTTTACGGCTCCCACGGATTATCCTCCGGTTATTGCCCATGCCTCTCACCGGTTAGATCTGAACAAGTTGGCTTGGCAGTGTTTTCACCAAGTGTATGCTACAATCTACAACAGTACATCCTCTATCTTTGATGCCAGTCTTTAATTCAACATCGCCACATGTTACAACATATGTCGATAGGGACGGAATGACATTAAATAGTGCTAACACTAGACCGGAGGAAGTGGTGCGAGGTGGATCTAGTCCTACATCTTCTAGCCGGCTTTACATACAAATCCCTGCTCGTTCGTTGATATACGTTATGGAATATGTTCTTGAATCCCCTCTTAAGAAAATATATGAAGGAGCTTGTTGATGCAGAGATTCTCCAACTGGTATCCTTTGTCAAGTACATATACTCCGAGTATGCACATGTCAGCCAATATCTCACCAGGAAGGAAGGCTCTCATTTCCCATCACGTTGTGAAGATCAGCAGCCGCAAAGACGTCAGCACTCGAAGGGGTTGTTGCAGGATCCAACGTGGGTCCACTCCCTAGAGGTGATGGGGATTCATGGGCCATAGGCGAGAACTTCTCTTTGCCTACGTCTTCTGGTATCTGGAAGTCCAAGAAGTCCCACATATTAGGACTCATCCCATTAGACAGAATGGGCATCACATCTAGATCGGGGCCAGGCATGAAGTGAGTCAAAGGGGTGTCCCTAGGAGTCGATGATCTTAGAACGGGTGAATCAGCAGGAGTGGCTGGATCGTTCAATGTCTTCAAGATCTCTACAACCTGGCGGTGGATGGGACGCTTCTGGTTCGATCCCGCATGACGGTTCGTACCATCACCTAAATCCTCTTCTAACTTCATCAATGCCTCGAGGGTCATAACACTGCGCGACACCGAGTTTTGCGGCAATTGTTGGGAGATAGCGTCTCCATAGGGTCGCTTCGGTGAGACTTCGGTACGCAACAGTTCAATAGCCTCACGGATATGGTCTCGCGTCATTAAGCGACCGAGTTGGGCACTCGAGCGCTCGGCCTCGGTCGACGGAGAATCAAACAGTTGCCCCAAAACCAGCACAACGGTCGCGTTGAAGAGTTGGGTTTCGTTGGTGGATAGTGAGCCACAAACTGTGCAACGGGCTTGGATCTGAGCTTGTGTGTTGATAATGTTATGAGCCAGCTGATGGCAAGATGCGCGCCCCATGGGAGAGGAGAGAGTACCGCGATGTAGGCGGAGGAGTAGACTCCACAGCTGTTGATGCAACATGAATCGTTGAACTGGGATAGCAGCCAAGGGACCCATGGCTGTGAGTCCGGCAGTGCTTCCCAATCTAAAGTAGGACGGCAAACTTGCCACGTATTTTTCGTATTTTTGATTGAGGTGCTGACGCCGCTGACTAGCTTCGTTTGCGGTGTCCCTGAGATCAACTAATTCCCGCACAATGATTGAAATTTCTAAAGCGTGTACTGTGTATGACAGCATGGTAAACTCAGACCGAGGGCGCTCAGGAATCTTGCCATGTGTCCTAAGTAGATCGTCATCATTAAGGTGAAGCGGCATCCGGGTATTAGATTGTGAGGGTTGGATAGTATAGTAGCCCAGAGCCTGTCCGCGCGACCAGTCTCTCATGACAAGAGCCCACCTAACAGTCCCGAGTGATTTAGTACTTTGCCCGAGTGAATGAAACCCGAGTATTCGTGATGCCTACCAAATTCGAATCGCAATCTCCGTGCGAATGTGAGGTGGCTCAGCGGTCGCCGAGCTATAACCTAAGGAGGCATCCAAAGTGACATTGCCCAAGCGATGCAATTCAAGTTTGCGCGCACCCGAAATGGCGGTAGCCAAGATGGCATCAAGCTCCAACGGGCTCGCTTTTGTATCCAGCAGGATCATTATGACCGCTTGTAAGCTGGAGATAGAGCCACAAAAGAGGGAAATACCTCCCTGGAGACAGCGCACACCGAGGGACCGCCATGTCGATATAGGCTCATTCGACGCACGGAGTTGCTCCACGGAGAAAGTCAACGGAGTAAGCTGGACACCCAAAATGGACGGAGTTGGATGAAATTCGAGTCCAAGCACGAGCTGCGTGGAATCAGTTAGCCGGTGATAGATCAAAGAGTTTAAATAGAAATAAGCACCGCGAGAAGCAAACCAGCAAGAGAGTCCATAGATATCGTACTAGCGATGGCCGTATCGGGGGAAGCCATATCCAAACAGTGGCGCAGTTGATCGGCTTGTGTCATGAAGCTTGGGGTGTGCACCACATTTCCCAAAGGTCCCTGGCAACGCGTGACAAAGACCTCGTAGAGGAGTTGGATGATATCCCATTCTGGCAGGGCGCGGACCACATCTCGGATTAATGCAAGCTTTTGGTCGTATCTCTGCGGATCCTGGGTCTCCCAGTATGAATTGAGGATATCGGGGGCGGCGCCTGCTGATTCGGAGAGAGGAATAATATCCACGAAATGCTCCAAGATCTGTACCGTGTCTTCTATCTCCGGCTCTTCCTCTTCCTCCGGCGTCAACTGGCTGCGGTTCTGCTCATTATGTTTGTTTTTAGCCCGCTTAGCTCTCGGTTGACGCTCATCTTTCATACATAGGTGGGCGCAATCACGCTTTATGCATTCCAACTAGAAACAATAAGTGCGCATTCTCATAAGATCCCAGGCACACTCACACAAGGCTCTTTGCGATCGCATTTCAATTTGGAGGCCCGACATCTCGAACAGGAGAGGGTGAGCTTTTTGGGGGCAACATCCATGTTAAGCAGAATATAAGGCAAGTTGGACATTGCCCGACATAAACCCGTTTGGCCCCAAGTGGGGGCGGAATCGGGCCATCTCCCGTGATCGGCCCACCGTATTAAAGGTTGAACAGACGTTGACATTGACAATATATTGAGAATCAGATCACACTGTGTGCTAATTCCAGTGCAATGAGCCCAGTTATACGAGTCTCCCGACTGAAGACAAGATGTTGAGATTCAGGATCCCATTTCGTACGCGCAATACCTTACAGCGCCTATATTCCAATTGTCAAATCGCCTGAGTATGCAGGTTGTCACTCCAATCACTGCTGGCCGCCATGATCCAATTTCCCCTGAGTACTATGCCTGTGTTTTGTATCCAGATTGTCATATATAATTCCCTTTCTATTTCATAGCTCTGAATCCAGAGATCTTGCACTAACATCTTTCTGGTATACAATTCCTGGCATTGTATTCGTCACAAGACGCCAAAAAGAGCCCTCTTCGCCAAAACTAGAACGATCTACAAATGGGAACAAAATACAAGGTCGATGTGTTGCTGCGAACGGGACTCTCACTAGACAGTGGACGAAACAAGGAGCTTTCTCCTCGCTATATCAGCCAAAGACCAGACAACAGAAATGGTGAGGCTATGTGCATTGGCTAGCATCTACCTAAGTACAAATAGCCCAGCTTTTTCGACCAAAATATTATCTCTGAAAACAATTCAAATCTTTTATTTCTGCCAGTCTATTAGTTATGTCAAGTTGATCCATACCGGACAAGAGTGAAATTCACAGATTGCTTCATGAATCTGCGGTCTCGGAAATGGCATCAGGGCTGGGCTGATCCCGTGTCTTGGACTCAAATCTGTGGTCGCGAACGAAGAAAATCACAACGAAAAACCCCACGGCTGCGAATCCAATTCCCAACCAGAACGCACTACGGTATCCGTAGATTGGGTTTTGTCCTCCCTCATTGGTATGAGACTCAACAGTGGCAGCGATACCGAGTCCAATGGAGATAGAGTACTGCACAATTGTCGAGATAAAGGATCCCGCAACACCTTGTTCCTCAGGGAGGACAACGTTGGTAATGAGAATTCCAGACGAGGCAAAGGACAAGTCGGGCCCACCCACGACAAACAGACACGCGGGGAAGATAAAGGCCCAGTAGACATCCGAGTAATTAACGAAACTCATGAGCAGGTTGCCGATGAAGAAGGAGAACATGGATACACCGAAGATATACTGGGCAGGCGTCTTAGCGATGAAGATCCCAACAGCCGTTGTAGCAAAAAAGCCACCAATGACAAGGGGAACCATTTGAGCCACTGCGGCAAGCGGCTGGGTATTATGAATAGTGAGGATGTAGACTGTGGTGTAGTAAAGGAAGATTCCAAAGGACATCCAGCCAAATGCCATGGCAATGATCACGGGTGCGAAGCCAGGGCGGACCCAGAGGGAATTGGGCAAAACGGGGGCAGAGACACGGGACTGGGAGAAGATGAATCCGACGATCAGGAAGACGCTGACAATAAGCAGGGCGTATGTATAAGGCTCTTGCCAGCCAACGACCGAAGCTTGGTTCCAGGCAAAGGAGAATAGGATCAGGGCTGACATGCCGAGCAAGCTACCGATGTAGTCGAACTGGCGGAGACTCAATCCTGGAATTGGGGAGCCGATTCGGCGAGGAACAACGACGAAGGTCGCCAAACTGAGAATGAAGCAGCCGATAGCCCAGAACCAGAATCCCCACCGCCAGGTAACTTTCTCCCCAAAGCCAGCTCCGATCAAACCACCGAAGATGTAGCCCGAGGGAGCGCAGAAGCCCAAGAAGGCAAAGGCGATGTTCTTCTTAACCGAGAGAGGCGGGAACGCACGTGCTAGCAGCGCAAAGGAGTTAGGGACTAGTGCGCCATTTCCAATTCCCATCATACCGCGGGCGATGTCGAATAAAATGACGTTGTGCGCGAAGCCGCAGACTAGTGACCAGATGGCCATCCAGATCCAGCCAAAGAGGAAGACATATTTGTGGCCAAAGTGATCACCCAAGCGGCCGGTGATTAGGACGAAGACACCACCGCAGAGGGAATAGGAGGCTAGAAACCATGATCTCTGCCCATTGCTATTTGTACCAAGAGATGTACCGATCTGTTCCATTGAGTAGGCGGCATTGCCTAGACCGCCGACAGAGAATAGTTGCGATAGGCCAATAATGAAAATGAAGACAGCCTCTTGAAAGGTGGAGGAAAAAACGGTCGGCTTGGTTTCTGGCTCAGCGTCCTCGGCCCCTAGGCTCGAGCTGATTTCTTCCTTGTGAGGTTGACTCACCAAGGTGGATCCGTCGGTAGACATGTAGAGGTATAGATTGATGGGAGGTTGAGATGAACATTGAGAATAGAGGATTTTATTTGATTTTATAACACATCTTGAGTCCGTTGTTTTCCCGTTTTCCTATGCCCATGGAGATAGAAATTGACGTTGAAAGTCCGCGGAGTTTCAGGAAAGATCCGATCTCACCAATGGACTTCGGTTTCCCCATTTAAAACCAGCATACTAGAAGAAGAAACAGAAACACATGGGTATTGTTTTACATCAAGTACGTTTCCAAAAAGGAGAATAATACTATGGACGTCTAGGACAAATGATTATGGCACTAGAACTACATCATAAACCGGGGGCCAACATACGAGGCACCATATGAGACACAATATTGTGCCTCGCTCTGTCAGGGTATCTTACTAGCCGGAAATGAGACAAATCTTTGAGGATACAACTGGACTCTGTGACTTAGCAATGAAGGGGCCCTAATAATTTTTCCAATTTACTTTCCAGTATTAGGTCTTTGTCCTAGATGTAATAATCCTAAGGTTGTGACAATTACTAAATCAAAAGGAAATAGCGCACACTAGTGTATACTACCCACTATCATACATTTCCTTCTAGTGATACATTACTCTATACATATGTGATTAATCCCAAGCTCTTTACATAATGTACATATGGTTCTCCCGGGGACCCCCAGACCCTTTATGACCGAGAATAATGCTCAGAACGGAGTATAGTACCTACATCTTCAGTAAAAATCGACAACATCGAAACAAGAGTGCATGTTGAAAGATGGCGAGTCTCGTCACAGCGGGTTCAGTTTTTGTTCTCACCAAACTAATCTGATCATTTCAACTTTATATTTATGGCTAGGGAAGTTGATCCAAATCGAAGTCGTTGCGAGTCTCAATGAACAAAAATGTTGCGGCTCTAGGGAGCTCTCGGCTGGGCTACCCGGTGGACCCTCGACCTCCCGAGGTCGGGATGCCGCTTATGTAATCTGTGTTTGTCCGCGTCTCCATCTAATTTCAAACCAAAAGCGCGCCATAAGCTCAGTGAGATAGATAATTTGATATCTACATATCAATCCTATACTTGAATCAGTTTGGCACCAAGAGATCAGACAGCACTAACGCAGTCATGACGTCGCTCTCATTGTCGCTAGGCCCACCAGCCTTAGTCCGGCTCCACGACGCCTTGATATGTCTGTCCAAATTCAGCGAAACAGTCGCCATCGAAGCAGAGCCTGACATCGTAAGTTATCTTTTCTTTGGTGGCGACCAATTCGGTCTTCAATTCTGGAACCCAGTAGATAAAGCGTTCTAGCTAACTGTACTCCAGCTCCGCCTCAGTGCCCTCAATTCCACCAAGACGGGGTTTGCCTCCTTCGCGTTCGAGAAGGGGGTATTCTTTGAAACGTATTCTTTCAATTCCACCGGTAGTGGCAGGAGTGGCAGTGCTTCACTGGACCGGTTCTTCTGCCAGATCTACATCAAAGTGAGTATATAAACTTTCCCTCCCCTTGGATTTGTATTCTATAGCATGTTTACGGGTTACTATCTTCTTTGTTTGATACTGATATCGAATGCAGGCACTTCTTTCCATATTCCGCGGGGGAATTGATAAAAACAAAGACACAGCTGTTGAACGCTGTGACATGGAATTGCATGAAGATCTGCAGCAAACCGAATGTAGACTGACAGTGAAGATGATCTGTGGACTAGGTAAGATACCCTTGCATATATATGTCATTCCTGGGGTAAATTGCATATCTCTAACACTCTATATAGGCGTGATCAAGTCATACAAGTTGACCTACGAACCAGCGGCAATTCAGCATGCCGTCTTTGACAAATCCAAAGCTACCAGCATGTGGACTGCTGATCCACGGTTCCTCAAGCAGCTCATTGAACACTTTAGCTTATCTGCCGAACAGCTGGATATGTATTCCGATTCAGGTAGAGCCGTGTTCACAAGCTTTACAACAAAAATCACCGAGGGCAAAGGTACGAGTTCGCCTCATCAAGTCTCAAAAGTCTAATTAACTAACAACTCAAACAGAAGTACTAAAACACCCAGTCCATACATCCGTAGCAGCAGATAAGCGCGACTTCGAAGAGTACTTGGTCGAAGAGAATATGCACGTCGCGATCAACCTGAAAGACTTCAAAGCCGTAGTTTCGCACGCCGAAACGGCAAACGCCACCGTAACAGCACGTTACACCCGACCATGCAGGCCTCTGCAACTGGAGTACCGATTCGAAGGCATCAACGCAGAATTCACAGTCATGACCCGCGGCCAGGCAGATGATGATGATGCTCCCACGTCAACACGAGCGACAATCCCACGGCAAACGCCCGCGCCTGTTCCAATCTCAGCAGCCAGGCCGCGCGATCCTCGCCCATCAGTGACACCAAGTACGCAGATGCCCCCACCGCCACCGCGAAGCAGATCGATCCGTCCTCTCAATGGATCATCGACGCAGGAGAATCTGAGCCAGAAGGCTAGCACAGATCG